GAGGGAGGAGGGAGGAGAAAGAAAGGAAAGAAAGAAAAAGAAGAAAGAAAGAAGAAAGAAATCTGTTACATGTACACCATGGAATACTATGCAGCCACTAAAAAGAATGAAATCCTGTCCTTTGCAGCAACATGGATGGAGCTGGAGGCCATAATCCTAAGCAAATTAATGCAGGAACAGAAAACCAAATACCATATGTTCTCAATTATAACTGGCAGCTAAGCATTGAGCACATAGAGATGTAAATATGGGGACAATAGACACTGGGGATTACTTGACAGTGAAGATGGGGATGGGTTACAAAACTACCTTTTGGGCACCACGCTCACTACCAGAGTGGCAGGATCCATACTTCAAACCTCTATGTCATGCAATATTTTCATTGAACAAATCTGCACATGTACCCCCATATCTAAAATAAAAGTCAAAAAATACTACAATAAAAAAAGTAATACAAATGAGAAAATGAAGAGAAAGATTCATAGAGTAAACACTGTGGCTACAGAAAAAGCACATTCAATCATGCTGGTGTGGGGAGTTGGAGCGGTGGTCAGATGAAGGTTTATAACTGGGGTGGCCATAGAATTTATTGTCCAAACCAACACACTTTAGGGAGCTAAAGGGGGCAGTATTTGTAATTTCACTGACACAACAGGCGTAAGTAGCTCTTTTGTGCAACCATATGATCTCCCAGGAATTATTCACCTGAAAGAGATCCAAATGAAACAGAGTTCTAAAGTCAAAGGGAAATGCTATAGGGCTTTGTTGAAATTGATATGGAGTAGTAGTTAAGGAGATGGACTCTGGAATCAGATTTCCAACATTGTCATTACTTGTTGCGTGATCTTAGACAAATTATTTAATGACTGTCTGCCTCAGTAAAGAAAGGAGAAACAGTACCTGTAGTTAAGGGTTGTTGTCAGGACTTAATGAAGAATATATATGGAAAGCATTCATAAGAGTGACCAGCCGATAGTAAGTACATACATGTGTATTCAATTGTTATCATTACTATTATCAGTAGCATAAAGATGAAAAGATAAGGAGAGAAAAGGGCAAAGATCTGCCAGGTAAAGAGCTAGATATCTATATGTAATTAGAGGCTACCAATGACATGAAACTAATTTGCCTAATTCTTGGCAAACTAATTTGCCAGGAACTAATTTGCCCAATTCTTTTTATTGGCTGCACAGCAATTCATAGAATACATGTATTGTATCAGTTGGAATTTCCTTCAAAGTACTGCATAAGAAACAATCCAAAATCTCAGTGGCTTATATCAACAGATATTTGTCACTCAAAAGGCTGCAGGTTGAAAGGGGTAACTGTGCTTCAGAGTCTGGGTCAAGTTCAGGTCTGCTCTCATTCTGTATTTCTTACTCTGTGACCCTTATTAGTGTAAAGGGTCACAGCTGCATGGGCTGAGCTTTTCTCATGATGAAATTCACAGCTCAAGAAAGCAAATGACCAAGCTCTTCTAAGCTTTGATTGCAAAGAGTATTTGGTATGCTTGTTCACAAAGTACTGCTAAAGCAAGTCCATTGTCAATGGGATGGAGACTTCTGCCTGCAGGAAGCCATGGCAAGGACTTGTAGTAGATAATACTATCTACCTAACTATCAAAAACAATTAACCAGGCTCCCATTAGTATATATGAAGATTCCAATTTTCACTATCAGAAACAATTGTGTACTAAACATAAAATGTGTGTGCATATTCTTATATATAATGTATATTCATTCATTGTATATATTCATTCTATGAGATGAATTCTAGAAGAAGGACATCATCTAAATAAATTTTTTTTTATAGAATTGCCCAATTGCTTTTTAAAATGTTATATTCATTTCCTCTTCTGCCCATCTCTCCGTCCTAAGAAAGTTCTTTAATGGGAATGGAGAAATTCTTAGAAGAGGCCACAGTGCTAAGAGGTGGGATTCCTCAGATGGTAAAGGATAAAGGGATCAGTATTGGAACTGCCACCTAGAGGTGGGCCCTGGAAGCAGAAAATATAAAGGAAGCAGTGGGGTATGGAAGGAAAATACTGGGGATGTAAAATATTTTCTGCCAAGTGTGAAGAACCAGAGTTAACTAATCAAAAGTTGGTATTAATTCTTTGTTATTATCATTTTATAAGTGCCAGGGCTCCCTTTACCTTGGAAGAATTTATTCTCCTGATGCAACAAAAACTTAGGGAATGTGGCTTCTCAAGTCTACTTCAGTGGTATGAATTTTGACTAAGACATACATAGTCTATATGAAATCCTTCTATCATGTTACACAATATTGCCACAATGTTAGCTCCTTCTCAACTCAGCGTCAGAACCACTTGTATCCTATAAGAGAAACTTTATTCAGACAGTTAAAACTTTATCCAGACTGGGCTAAATTAGTCAGCACTTGCAACTCTGACCCATGTTTGGGAGGCCCCTCTCACATTTTCCATTTGATCCTTCACCCATGAGACTGCAGAATCAACATTTTATTTATTTTAGGTTCAGGGAATACATGTACAGGCTTGTCACATGGGTAAATTGCATGTCATGAGGGTTTGATGTGTAGATTATTTCATCCCTGAGGTGATGAGCATAGTAAGTAGCCAAGAGGTAGTTTTTCAATCCTCACCCACCTTCCACACTTCAACCTCAAGTTTGCCCTGGTGTCTATTTTTTCCTTCTCTGTGTTCCTGTGTATTCAATGTTTAGCTCCCACTTACAAGTGAGAACATGCTGTATTTGGTTTTCTTTTCCTGCATTAATTTGCTTAGGATAACAGTCTCCGGCTGCATCCATGTTGCTGCAAAGGACATGATTTCATTCTTTTTAATGCCTACATAGTATTCCATACTGGCTATATACCACATTTTCTTTACCAGTCCACTGTTGATAGACATTTAGGTTGATTCTATGTCTTTGCTATTGCAAATAGTTCTGTGATGAACATACATGGTCATGTGTCTTTATGATAGAGTGATTCCTATTCCTTTGGGTATATACTCAATAATATGATTGCTGGGTTGAATGGTACTTCTGTTTTAAGTTCTTTGAGAAATTGCCACACGACTTTCCACCACGGCTGAACTAATTTATATTCCCACCAGCATTATATAAGCATTTCTTTTTCTCTACAACTTCACCAGCATTGGTTATTTTTTTGACTTTTATTTATTTATATATAAATAAAACACTTTGGCCGGGCACGGTGGCTCACTCCTGTAATCCCAGCACTTTGGGAGGCCGAGGCGGGTGGATCACGAGGTCAAGAGATCGAGACCATCCTGGTCAACATGGTGAAACCCCGTCTCTACTAAAAATACAAAACATTAGCTGGGCATGGTGGTGCATGCCTGTAATCCCAGCTACTCAGGAGGCTGGGGCAGGAGAATTGCCTGAACCCAGGAGGCGGAGGTTGCAGTGAGCCGAGATCGTGCCATTGCATTCCAGCCTGGGTAACAAGAGCGAAACTCCGTCTCAAAAAAGAAAAAAAAATAAAAAAATAAAATAAGTAAATAAATAAATAAAACACTTTGAGATGAAGTGTTGCTCGGTCACTCAGGCTAGAATGCAGTGGCATGATCTTGGCTCACTGCAACCTCCGCCTCCCAGGTTCAAGCGAGCCTCCTGAGTAGCTGGGATTACAGGCGCCTGCTATCATGCCCAGCTAATTTTTGTATTTTTAGTAGAAACTGGGTTTCCCCATGTTGGCCAGGCTGGTCTTGAACTCCTGACCTCAGATGATCCACCTGCCTCAGCCTCCCAAAGTGCTAGGATTACAGGCATGAGCTATTGCACCTGGCCATTTTTTGACTTTTAAATGACAGCCATTCTGACTGGCGTGATATGGTATCTCACTGTGGCTTTGATTTGCATTTCTCTGATGATTAGTGGTGATGAGTTCTTTTCCATATGTTTGCTGGTTGCTTGTATTTCTTCTTTTGAGATGTGTCTGTTCATATCTTTTGCCTATTTTTAAATGTACCTGTTTTTTGCTTGTTGAATTGTTTAAGCTCTTTATGGATTCTGGATATTTCAGATGCATCATTTGTGAATACTTTCTCCCATTCTATAGGTAGTCTGTTTACTCTGTTTCTCTTGCTGTGCATATGTCTTTAGTTTAATTAGTTTAGTTTAATTAGTCCTAATAGTAAATTTTTGTTTTTATTGCAATTGCTTTTGAGGTCATAAATTATTTCCCAAGTCCCATGTCCAGGATGGTGTTTCTGAAGTTTTTTTCTAGAGTTCCTATAGTTGTAGGTATTACATTTAAATCTTTAATCTATCTTGAGTTAATTTTTGTATATGGGGAAGAGTAGAAATCCAGTTTCGGTCTTCTGCCTATGGCTAGCCAGCTATCCCAGCATCATTTATTGAATAGAAAGCTTTCCCCCATTGCCTATTATTATTCTGAGTTCTCCATTCTATTCCATTGCTCTGTGTGTCTGCTTTGGTACCAGGACCATGCTGTTTTGGTTGTTGTAGCCTTGTAGTATAGTTTGAAGTTGGGTAGTGTGATGCTTCTGGCTTTGTTCTTGTTGTTTAGGATTGCTTTGGCTATTTGGGCTCTTTTTTCATTCCATATGAATTTTAGAATAGATTTTTCTAATTATGTGACAAATGTCATTGGTAGTTTAATAGGAATAGCAATGAATCTATAAATTCCTTTGGGCAGTATGGCCTTTTAACAATATTGAAGAATCAACATTTTAACAGACTCTTGGCACTTGAACCTGTTCTTCAAGCTCAGCATCGATTGGTCAGAAGACAAACCGATGTGCACCTATTAATGGACCAGTTCCACATATCAACTACAGAAGAGATTAGGAACATGCTGAGGCAAAAGGAATTTAATTTATCCCTGAGTAGTGCAGGTAAAGCAGGTTAAGAAAAATGCAAATTGGCGAGCCTGACAGTGCCTCATTCTGGAGCATCTATAACTTCTGACCCCAAAGAATAGACATTATCATTACGTTTCTCTTCTTATATTGGAATAGTTACCCTATTTCACATGACTTCTATAAACTTATAGAAAATAAAAGCACCAGTATTGCTCTCCTAGTTTTCCTGGCAGCTACAGGATGTGTTGGCGACCAAATTCTTGACCAGTGAGATGTACCACCTTATTTTGAATGTAGACATAGTAGTGAAAAGAATAAAAAATGGACAGTTCTTTCTGGAGGTGGTAATAACCAGTTTATAGGCCTCCAAGAACTATGCCCAGTGACTACTGCTGGTAGTGTAGGAGGAGGTACAAGCTGCAGTGAATAGAGTTTGGTGGCTACAGTGTTTTCCTCAACAGACTAATTCTGAGATATGATTTTCACTGTGGTTCTGATGATATTACCTTTATTATTCTTGTCTGTTTTTCTTGAGTCTAGTTCCCTAGGCTTGGAAATGCATGCACCCCACACATCTTTCCAAGAAACTCATCTCCTCCATGCATAAGCCAGAATCAGTTTCTATTGCCTACATCTAAGAACTCTGAGAGTTACAACCCTAGTGTTTAATTGCAGAAAACACTGTCAACTATAGTTAAAGAAATGTTAGTGTTTTACACTAAGTATATGGTGGTTCCTTTTTGTTTTATGTACTTTGTATTTAATAGATTTCTCTGGGCAATATCCAATGAGAAGATATATGATATATACCTAATTTAGATATTTCTGGAAAGTTCTAAAGAAAGCAGATCTGTGAGGCACAACGTTATTTCTCCGGAATCATAGGTAAAACTCTGAACTGTGTTTTGGGGTTTTATCTAAAAAAAAGAATCTGTATTCTGCTCATCCATTTCACGAAGGCTCCCTTGACATCCCCATTCCTCAGGCTATAGATGAAGGGGTTCAGCATGGGAGTCACCACTGTGTACATGAGTGTTACAATGCGACCCTTGGTCACTGAATAACTGGAAAGGGGCCGGAAGTAGACCCAACTGAGGGTGCCATAGAAGATGGCCACCACAGTGAGGTGGGAGCCACAGGTAGAAAAGGCTTTCCACTTGTCCTTGGCTGAGGGCATCCGGAGGACCACCAAAATGATGCAGGCATAGGAGGCAGTAATGAAGGCCAGAGCTCCACTCACAACAACAACACCTTCTGTGTGAATCATCAGGGTGTTGAGGTAGGTGCTGGTGCAGGAGAGCTGCATCAGAGCGTAGAGGTCACAGAAGAAGTGGGGGATTCTGTTATCAGCACAGAAGATCAGTCGGCCCATGAGAAAGGTGTGCAGCAGGGCATGAAGGTGGGAGAGGGCATGGCACATAACCACCATTTTCACACACAGCATTCTAGTCAGGATCATAGGGTAGTGGAAAGGGTGGCAGATGGCGATGTATCTGTCATAGGCCATCATGGCCAGGATGAAGTTTTCCATGGTTGCAAAGCAAATGAAGAAATAAGTCTGGGTTAAGCAGCCTGTGTAGGAAATTACCTTTGTAGGGGAGAAAATATTCTGCAGCATCTTGGGGACTGTGGCGGAGGTGAAGCAGATGTCTGTGAAGGCCAAGTTACTGAGGAAGATGTACATGGGGATGTGGAGGCGTGGAGCAGAGAGAATCAGTGTGATGATGGACAAGTTGCCAGAAATGTTGACCGTGTACATGAGTAGAAAAAGAAGGAAGAGTGGGATTTGCTCTTCTGGGTGGGTGGAAATGCCCAAGAGAACAAAATGGGACACACTGGTCCAGTTGCTACTGTCCATCTGTTGACATAAGAACAAAAAGAATTATTTCTATAGACTTGGACATATGAGCAGGCTATTTAGTTAGTCACTGTTGTGTCTCAGTGGCACTGATAAAGGGATTAAGTGCTTGTTACTTTTCCAAAATAATAGGATTTTTCATTAACATCATCATTATTAAAAGTACTGGTAAAAAATGCAATGACTTTTGCACCAAGCTAATATCACTGTAGCTCACATTTACAGAACGTTTACCTTAAACCGGGGACTTTTCTGTATCATCACATTTGAATCAATAACTCTCTGAGGCCATTGTTATTACTACTACTATTATTATTTCACTTTTACAAATTTGAAAGGCATGGAAAGTTTAAGTCAATAAAGAGCAAAATATGAATTTAAGCCACATTTATCTGATGTCAAAGGTTATACTATTAGCCACTATATAACATAACTCCCCAGATTAAAACTAAGCCATCTTCTTCATGGTAATGAGATCAGTTGATGAGCTGTATAACCAAGGAATCTGCCTGCTGCAAGGGTAGTCAAGGGTCATTTTCACTTTGGGGGACACGTACTCTTGCTGATACCCAGAGACTTCTCAGTACATAGATAATGGTTTTAGGAAAATAATTTTTTAGATAATCAGTTTCCACATTTCTCTTTTCTAAACTCTTCTCAGCTTTAAGATATCACCTAGTGCATAATCTTGTTTCCCATGTAACAAATAAAAACTAAATGGTAATATAATTGATGTTGATTTTGACTTATTTTAGTAATAAGTAATACTTATTTCTAGATATATGAACTAAAAAACGTCCTACTAGATGCCTTTAATTAAAATACTACTATTTAGATATAACAGTTATTTTCAAAGTTTGTGATATATTACCATGTGAAATTACCATTTTTGTAGATCAAAATAGGTGAACATTGGCAGCTTAATATAATTAAAACTAACAGCTACATAGTTTTGGTCAGTTTTTCACTAGTAATAATTGTGGTAATAACTCAATGTAGATGATTTTTCATAATTATTTTAACACAAAATTTTATGGCCATAAGAAATTTTTTAAAACTTTTATTTTTTACTGTGAAAAGTAATACAGGTGATTATAAGAGACTTTTTGTGAAAAGCAATATAGGTGATTATAAGAGGCTTTCCAGCATAAAAATGTATTACAACAGGATAAAATTTGTATAGGAGAAGAATGGAAATGCATGTTTAAATGGAGAAGAAATGATGTAAAATGTACAGCTTTTCAGGATGACTTTGTTCTTGCATTTTAAAAATAAATGATGTGATTATCAAATCATTCTGTGTTTAGATGCCACTGGATACATTTAAGAAATAATGTAAAGCTTTGTTTTAAAGGTACAATACTCCATGTATTGCAGCTATTTGAACATCAAGTGAATAATTTTATATGCCAGTTTTTAAAAGTGCATGGGTCTTAATTAAAGCATATGTGAGCACAAACTATAAACTCATTGAAAACTATAAACCCATTGATTGAGAACTTGACCCAACTTCTCAATCAATGTTCAATCTCTTTTTATAGGATCCTGGGGAAATGAACATTCTTTCTCCTCTTAAAGGCTTTCAGTGGCAGAAAGCTCTAGTTGTCAGAATTTTTTTTTTTACAGGAGAAGCTAAAGTATAATTGCCTCTTATTTCTGTCTTGCGGAATGAGGTTGGTCCTATAGGATCTCACACTACAAGCCTGTTATTCTTCGCCATGTAAGCCCTTGAGAAATCTAAACATGTAGCACTGTGCAGTGGTTAAAAGCCCTGCCTTCATTTTCTCATCTGTCAAATGGTGATTTTAATAGTTTATTACGCTTGAAGTTTTTACAAGGATTAAATGAGAGTACCTGGTCCCTGGAAAGTAGTAAATGCTGGCAATTTTTTCTTTCATTTTTTTCCAGTTTTGTTAAACATAGAGTCTCCAGGTTTTTCTGCCATCCAGGTCTCTCTACTGTGAAGCTACTCACTTTGTCTCTGTCCTTAAAATGTCATTTACAGAACTAAGCAATATTCAGTGAATCTGGTTTTTCATCACAGGCTAGACATAATTATTTTGGTCATAAATAATAACGAGTTGGCAGTCCACAAATAAAATGTGTTTATGGACATAAGAATTCTTTTTTTTCTTTTGAGATGGAGTTTCACTGTTATTGACCAGGCTGGAGTGCAACGGTGTGATCCCGGCTCACCACAACCTCTACCTCTCGGGTTCAAGTGATTCTCCTGCCTCAGCCTCCCAAGTAGCTGAGATTACAGGCATGTGCAACCACGCCTAGCTAATTTTTGTTTTGTTTTGTTTTTTAGTAGAGATGAGATTTCTCTATGTTGGTCAGGCTGGTCTTGAATTCCCAACCTCAGGTGATTTGCCCACCTCAGTCTCCCAAAGTGCTGGAATTACAGGTGTGAGCCACCACGCCCGGCTAGCTATAAGAATTCTTAAATTTTGCAATTTGTTTGTTGGGAGGAAAAAGGGCCAGCAGTTAAGAACTGTTTCTATGTAAGGCACTTTTACACATATCTCAGACAATCCTTATAGCAATCCCAGTATGTGTCTAGCTGTGTGTCCTAGTCACAGTCACTTGTCCTGTTCCACATATGAGAATACCAAAGCTAGGCCGGGCGTGGTGGCTCAAGCCTGTAATCCCAGCACTTTGGGAGGCCGAGGTGGGTGGATCACGAGGTCAAGAGATCGAGACCATCCTGGTCAACACGGTGAAACCACGTCTCTACTAAAAATACAAAAAATTAGCTGGGCATGGTGGCGCGTGCCTGTAATCCCAGCTACTCAGGAGGCTGAGGCAGGAGAATTGCCTGAACCCAGGAGGCGGAGGTTGCGGTGAGCTGAGATCGCGCCATTGCACTCCAGCCTGGGTAACAAGAGCGAAACTCCGTCTCAAAAAAAAAAAAAAAAAAAAAAAAAAAAAGAGAATACCAAAGCTAAGGGAGGCAAAGTGATTCGCTCAGTATAACCTAGTAGTAAACGGTGGCTGGACTTCACCCTTATGTCCGGATACCTCTAGTGCTCATACATGCCTGACTGTCCATTTCCCTTCTTCTTCACAGAATACAATGTATTTATCACCCCTGGTCTGTCTGCTTTCATGCCTCAAGTTAAGGGATGCCACCATGCTACAACTCAAGAGAACAAACAGTAGATTTTCAAACTATAAAAATGTGGCAATTCATAATATGATATTGAATATCCTGAATTGATTTCAATGTGGCATGATGATCAATGTGCAATAAAAGTGCACATTTACTGAGCACTTGCTATATACTAGGAATTATTCCAAGAGCTCTCCATATGTTTTTCATATGATCACAGCAATGCTATGATATAGGTATTAGCTCCACTTTATAAATGAGAAAATTGAAGCTTGGAAGGGTCCTGTGACATGCTCAAGGTCACAGATTTAGTAAGTGGTAGAAATGAAATTTGGATTCAGCTCTGTCTGACTTCACAGCCTGTACTCTCAGCCATGGGGCTGTGCTACTTGGTTTCTCTTGCTATTCTACTTTCTATTTTCCTCTTTGTTTCCTTCTTTTCTACTGTGCTATCCCGTACATTGGACAATGAGAAGTGCCTGTCATATTTTTTCTAGTTTAATTCTCATAAAACTTAGATCCGTATTGAGATCATGAAACCGAGGACCAGAGAGATGAATTAACTTTCTCAAGGTCAAAGAGAGTAGAGTTGGATCCAGGTTGATCATCATTCTGTCTAACGCAGAAGCAATGCTCTTCCTCTCCTACCTCGCCGGTTTAACACCCACTGTTCCATTCCCTCCCTGTGCTGGTTTTCTCTTATCAGTGTGGCATTGTCATCAGATTCTTCAAATGAAGAGTCACATCTCTAGCCTGCAGGGCTGGGCATCAGGTGGCCCTGAGTTTATGGTTTAGGAAACATGAGATTTATCTTTCTTTTCAGATCTTGGGAAAGGCCTAAGAGTGGACTAAGCTGTACCTGACAGTGGCCTGTGCCCAGATGCTACCTGGGCGATGTCCATATAGCTTCTGTAACAGCTACCCGAGAGGCTAGAGAGAGTCCCAGAAGTGGATGGCGGGGAGCTGCCTTGAACCTTAGAGTCCGCCTTGTCTCCCTCATGGCTGGCAGAAATTATCCTGCCTGACCTACAGTGCAGCATATCAGCCAGCTCCTTATGGCAGACGAGAGGCGTGTGGTGTGGACAGGGAGGTAGGAGACTAAGAATGGGGAACTCCTAGAGGAGAACATTACTTTATAAAAGGATGTGGATTTGAAAATGAAACAGCAATGTGATGTGTAGGAATTGATCTTGACCCAGGACATTTCCATTTTCTACCTGGGTTTTGGTCCCGGGTCTGCCATAAAAATGTTCTGAAACATTGGGAAAACCACTTCTTTTTTTTTCAGGAGCGTCAGTTTCTTCATCTGGGGAATGGGAAGAATATTAACAACTTTCAATGCAGAAGCTTGATATAAAAGAATGTCAGAAGAGACTATAGACATGAAGGCCCCTTAAAAGTCCTGTCAAACAGTGAGAATTTGTTTATTTTAAATTTCCATGAGAACCTGGGTTTCCTATCACAGAATAGCTTTCTATAACTGCTAGCAATCAGATCCATAAACTGCCCTTTGTAAATAGAGGAGGCACTGGGATAATATGACTTAATAAAGTCTCTGAGTTTCTCTGATGCTTAATTCCCAGAGTGGGAAGAAAAGTCTGGGTCAGTTGCTAAGAGACAACACAGTGAACAATCATATCCAGCAGGTGATTTCTGGGTCAGCCCACTCTGATTATTCATAACACCCCCCTGATGGATTGAGAATCTCTGCAATCTATTAGCTATTTTCTTTGACTCAGGGAAACTTTCTCCAAAAGGCATTACTCTTCACTATGTATTAGGTCGGTGCAAAAGTAATTGCGTATTTTGCCATTTCTTTCAATGGCAAAAAACCACAATTACTTTTGCACCAACCTATAAATCATTCATACTCTTTTGTAGATAGATTTTGATCAGGGGAAATGGGACAGTCCATAAAGACACGGCATGTCTGAGGATGGTGTGAGGACGAGGCATGACGAGGAGAGAAAAGAGACAAGATTAGGAGGTCAAAGACAAACTTCACAGTACTCACAGTATTGTGCAGGGAATCAGTTTCGAGAACGATGGTCCTCTCTCCAGAAGTCACTGAAAGCCTGTATAGGAATT